GACTCGAACTGCCGATACCCAGGTGTTGAATTCGAAGAGAGGGGATATGGATTTACCCTCCTGTCACAGAAACCCACATCACGTGGAAAAGCCTCGGAAGACACGTGTTTCCCTCAACAGTACATTAGCCACTGGATACTACATATATATTAAGCTAGCTTTGCCTTCGAGTATTTGCTTATACCTTATTTATGTGCTTATTTCAAAATGATGCCCATCATGGGAATAATTGTATTGTGCTCGGCCGGCACTCCGAATTTGCATCAAACGCCGCCATTTGTTTGGGCTTTTGTGCGAAACTCAGAATCTGAATTTACAATGAGCTGGCCGGGCTTTGTTCGGCGTTGCCCAAGGCATTGAACTGTAATGGCCAGAACGAGAAAAAACCTCCGAAAAACCGAAAGACCAGCAGGCAAAAAAAAGGGGAAAAAATAAGAGAAAGAGCAGACAGTTTCCCACTGCTCAAGGCCGAGATCATTTATGGCTGTTAAAAACTTATTAAAACAATTTGACCACAGTTAGCAAGAGTTAATTGCAGTGGCACAATTACGAATTACGGCCGAGTCCCCATTAGATTTGGCATTTTGCGGTTTCTCGGCCAGAGTGACCGAAATCGAGCTGAGCAGTCAAAGCGAATCGAATCGAATTGAGTCGAAACGAAACGAATCGAATGCACTCGGGTGACAATTTAATAAGCCAGAAGATTGGCCTGTCTTTCGGCCCTTTTGGCCATCGCCATCGCCCGTCCTCTGAAACTCTCTCTCTATTCCGTTGGCAACTCGTTTGCGACTCGGCCCGTCTATTTTGTGATGTTGCTGCTACCTCTTCTGATGTTGCTGCTGCATTTTGCCGGCTCATTTCAACTTGGCCCGAATGCATTTTCTATACAAACACAGACAGAGCAGCCAGAAGCTGAGGCAAAAGCAGACGGAGCTCGAGCAGACAACCGCAATTCGGTTGGGTATGGCACAGAGCACTGAGAGAAAAAGTTTGACTCTTACAAAAAGATGTCACTTTAGGAGAACAACAATGACTTCTCCAAATAAATAGATTTCGATAGTCACATGAATACTGGAAATAAACTGGTGTTTTATATAGAAAGATTTAATAAATGATAATAAAATTATTTCGAATGTAATTATATGCTCAGAAAATAGTACTTATATCAACTATTAAAATGAAGATTGATACTTGAATTCTATGTTATTTGGTTTCTATATATTGAATGTATTATTTGGCAAGCATAAGGAACTGATTTGGCGAAATGAACTTTGGTAAATATAGCTATTGTTGCATTATTTTGGCTGTGCACTAACTCCATTCCCAATCTTCCCCCTTCACCCGTATCCATTTCGACTGGAGAATGGCAACTTTTTGCCTTATTGGCTTTATTGACTTTTGGTAAGTTCTCTTACCGCTTGACTTCGTTTCGTTTCGATTCGTTTTGCGGCCAGCTTCTTGGCCAAACGACAAAGCCATTTCGACGGGTGTGGTGTGTCGAACGGGACGTCCGGCAGAAGTCCTCGCAAAAGGGTATGCCGGCTGTCGGTTAGCAAACTCGCCTGATTGCTGCCCGTGTTTATTCGCTTATAAAAATAAATAAACCCAGCGCCGCCGCCGAATCAGTGAAAGAGAGAGGGAGTAGGAGAGTGGAGGAAGCAGGACGGCAGGCGAGCAGGAGAGCAGGACAGAAGTTGGCAGTTGCAAGACCGTAAAACTGGAAAGTTGTTTGGTCAGTTCTACCGACAACGGCGGCAACATTTAGTGTCGAGTGCTGGCTCTTGGGCTTTGATTTTCTCGCAGCCGCACACTGCCGAGCTGCGAATGGGAAAATTTATGAAAAATCACTCAATTTCCCAGCTGCGGAAAAGTGTGTCATCCGCCAAATGTTGCAGAATCCCCGCGGCCGAAGATCGCCGAGTGTCTTTCTGGGATCTTCGGTCTGAACTCGGAGTTGCAACTCGATCTTGGCTGGTTTTCCATCGTCGGATGTTTCGTCTTGTTGTTTTTGGCCGAAATCTGGTTTTTTTCTGGCTCTACCTGTCTCGCTCTGCCGCCGTGTTGCTGTCTCTTTCTTTGTTTTGTTTCTGATTCTGTTTCTGTTTCTTTTCCATTTGCATGGCTAAAGTTGAATCATCGATGTCGATATCGAGCTGGCGTATCTGGCAGATACTTTTGCACTTCACCGAGTGCAAATGCTTGTTTTTCGGGGTATTTGGACTCTGGATTTGGCACTCGCCAAGAAAACTGGTTTTCCCCTTCCTCCCGATGAACAGGACCCATTTCAGTGTCAGCTTGGCAAATCCCCCAATCCATCCAGTCAATTAGCAATTAGCCGCAGCGCCATAATTAATAATGGAAGCACGCGTCCCAATGATGTTAACTAAATTGTTTTCGATTTATGTTTCAAGTTCGAGTTCATCTCGGTTATGAGCGAGTACTCGTGCAGCTTTAAGCCAAATTTATGATAAGCTGCTGGCCATTTGGCCCGCGTTAACCTCGAGCCAGAGATACAGATTCAGATGCAGATACAAAAACCGAATGCGAAAGTGAAAGTGGCCGAAAAAAAAAAAAAAAAAAAAAAACGACAGCACTCTGCGATCTCCCTCCTTCTCGTTTGTCTCAAGTGATTTTATTACCGCCTTTCTTGTCTCTCTCTCTCTCTCTCTCTCTCTTTTTTTGTCTCTGTGTGTTAACTTTGGCTTTTGTTTCTGGCTCCAGCGGAGTTTCAAAATAAAATTAAATGCTAAGAAAAACAAAAACAAAAACAGGCGAGCAGGCGAAAAGGAAAAATGATTACAGCGATTTATACGTTGTGCGGGGCAACGTGAGTTCGGCATCACGTTTCCTTTTTATTGCTCTCTGAATTTGTTATTTTTGCTGTTGTCATTTTTCATTTTGGGTCTGGGTTCAGTTCAGCTTTGCTGGCCGTGCTTCTCCCCGAGTTCGGTTATTTAATGATTTAAAGATTATACACGGTCCACCAGGCGACCCTTTTACTCCTGGCCGACGCAAAGTGCTCCTGCTTCCCCCCGAAAGTTGAGTCAGAAAAACTTTCGCTTTTTTTACACCTTTTTTGGGAAGGTAAGTCCAAATAAAAAGCGTTGTGTAAGAGCATGTTAATTTGGGACGAAGGCAGAAGGTGTTAAAATTGCAGATAATGTCTGCGGTTTGTTGTTTGAGCTCTCTCTCTCTCTCTACTTGGGTTTTTAGTATGCGAAGCCCTTACTTTGAGGGATGCTGTTCGCACTCCGCTGGCGGGGATCTCTATTAAGCGACCCAATTATCCCAAAATCGCCGAGTTGAGAAGCTCAGATAAGCGGCTTACGGCGGAATATCTAATTTTGGAGGGTGGTTATGCGACTCACACTGATTCATATATGGCAAATCGGACTGGGTGGCGTTTATCGCCTCACCTTCAAGCGAACAATCCGCTTAATCACCGAACTTTGACTCACGGAAAACTCGAGCTCGTTCTTCATAAATATGCTAATCAGCCGGCGGACACGCCTCCAATTTACCCAAAGAATAGCTAATTCGGGCACTCGCTTTCGGGCTGACACAGTTTTGCAATTATTCAATGGGCAAACACAATTAAAATTGTGAAACACGATTTGCTCTTGACAAAATGTCAAACGTTCACGGTGGGAGTGAAGTGGTTTTTCGAGACGTTTAGCCAAACCATTAGACAGATATCGCGCGCATCCGTCAGATATTCTACGGCTACATTAGCGGGGCTCAGCAGAAACAGCAACACAAACGCAGATATACAGATACAGATACGGATTGCTATTGGGAGATACAAGTTCGAGTACACGCGGCATCGATTATTCGCGAGCTCTCGTAGCAAACTGGTTCTGCCGGTGCCCAACTATAGAAAAGTGTTTCAGTGTTCCAGGCAATACAATAAATGCGTGGGAAAGCGCAACTTAGCCACTCGGATCGCAGAATTATGGCCAGTCAGCCTAGGACAAAGCCAAGCTGCCGCGCTAGATGTGCAATTACAGATAAGCCCGAACTCATTATAATAAAAATGAGTTATTAAAGCCCCCGAAACCAAAGCGCCAAAAACTTTTCGCCGAAAACTAGACGGGAGTAATGGCCAACGGCCCGACGTCTGGTTTGTATTTTTTTTGGCCCGAACTTTAAATTAAAGCCACTCCGTCGTTCACTCCATCCTCTATCCACTTTTCTCGCTTTTTGTTAATTTCTTGGAAGCTGTCAACGTTGAGAATTAATTTTTACACCACGAGCCCTGACCGAGCCGGCCTGGACCTGAATGAACCTCTTTTCCTGGTCTAGAGAATCAAATCATGCAAGAAATTTGTTACTGACATAAAAATTACCATCATTATAATGTCTGGCCCCGTCTAACACGAACACGAACACTCGAAAGCGAAGCAGGAAGAGCGCCGCAAAAGCCAGTATGTGGTAATAGAAAATGTCGAAATGGACACTGGGAAAAAATTCCGCGAATTTAGGTTTGAGAAGGATGCAGAGCCACAATGAGATACATTTCTCCTTAATGAATGAATTAACTACAAACTTGTATTTGCTAATTGCTCTGTGGAAATAATAACTTTCGAACTAATTATTATTTTTTTCTTTTTTTAGAAATATTGTATCATCATGAAGCAGATGAAAAAAATATAGAATTCTCAAAGATAAATTTGAAATAATTTGAATAAATATTTTACGAAGTATCTAATAGTATCTAATATTTTCTAGTAATCTGAAATGACATCTTATAACATCTCTCATGCCTAGCAATGATTTTCCCATTTTCCCGAGTGCACTTTTCAATGGCTTGGGGGAAATGAAACTCGAGACTGGTCGAAGACGACAAGGGAGTGCCCGGTCGAACGTAACGGGTCGGATGAGTGATCGATGCTGTCCGGGAAGAGGTGAGAGTTGCTCTCAGGGATTGGGGACTGGGAACTGGGTACCGGGTACTCCGAACTCCGGACTGAAAGTGGGAGTGGGAGATGAGCGGAACTCACCTGCGCATGATGGGCAGCGGCAGCGTGAAGCGTCCGTCGTTCATGAGCGGCGCTGGCAGCGGACCCGGCAGTGGCACCGTCGAAATCACGGACGTCATCGGTGGCGGCGGCGGTGGCACCGGAGTTGCATGTTGCTGTTGTCCCGCCGCCGCAGCAGCAGCAGCCGCAGCAACTGCTGTCGCGGGCGGTGGAGGGGGCGGTACGGGAACGGCAACGGGAACGGGCAGTGCGCTGTAGGGCGGCGGATAGTGGGCGTGGAGGATGTCCGGCAGAAGAGCACGCGCCAATCCCATGGCGGCGGGATGGGGATGCGGCAGGGGGTGGGGATGGGGAAGGGGATGTGGGTGGTGCAGGTGAGGGGGTGGATGCAACTGTGGCGGAGGAGGAGGGGCGGGTGCCGCCGCTGATGGTGCGGCGGAAATTGTTGTTGTTGCTGCTGCTGCTGTTGTTGTTGCTGCCGTCGTTCCCTTCGCTCCTTGCGACGTTGCTCGCGTGTCCGGATTTGTTGTTGCTGCTGTTGCTGCTGCTGCTGCTGCTGATGCTGCTGCTGCAGATGGGATGATGAACTGGCTGTCAGGTCATCCGTTTGGCATTCCGTTGAGGTGAAGGTGCGTGGGTGGCTGCTGCTAATATTGTTATTGTTGCTGGCATTCACATTGATTATATTCACACTGTTATCCGGCTGCACGTGATTATTATTGCTCGCCGTGGTAGCTGCAACATGTTGCTGCTGCTGCTGCTGATCCCCGCTCGGGGTGCTACCATTATTATTTAGCTTATTTTCAACACTTGCACTGAACACTTTGGCTGCTGGCACACAATTATTAATTTCCACAACGCTATTATTGTTGTTGCTGTTACTGATGTTGCTGCTGATTTTGCTGTTGTTGCTGCTGTTGCTGCTGGGGGTGTAACTGCAGTTGACAACGCACACACCGTTGTTGTTGTTTACAATTGCCGTGGGCGAAGCCACCGAAACGCGATTGCCGTTAGTTGTACCGTTAGTGTTGCTGTTGTTCACTTGGATCGTTAGGCTCGGTTGTCGCTGGCAGGACTTCGAGTTTGAAGTTCCAGTTGTTGTTGCTGGCAGCACCGCAATGTTGCTGATGCTCTTGGCCTCGTCGACAACTTGATTGTCGCCGATGTCGGTGCTGCTGCTGCCGGACACATTGAGAAACACACTGCTGCTGCTGCTGCTACTGCTGTTGCTGGTGTTGTTGCTGCTGCTACTATTGCTAGTTGCGCTACCAGCAACAGTTGCTGCTGCCGCAGTGGCTGGCACATTTAGACGCATCTCGCTGTCGTTGGCGGTGGCTTTGGCGTTGGCGTTGGCGTTTTCGATGTCCAACTGGCTGAGACCCCGCTCGAATCTGCTTTCACTCGCGCGAAATTCGGCATACAGACGCTCGAGTTCTGCCAAACATTTGTTGGGCCGCAGCACGCTGCTGCTGCTGCTGTCGTACAGTGGGCGATAGCTATTGCTATTGCTGTTGCTGCTGCTGCGATTGCTGCTGCCTGCGTAGTAGCAATTCCGGTTGCTCGCGTTCGTTGTTGGCCCGCCGAAAGTTGCCGAGACACTGATCGCCGCTCGCTCGCCGCTGGTGTTGCTGCTGCCGTCGGTGGTGTTGCTCGCGTAGCTCGTGTTGCTGCTGCTGCTGCTCACAGCTCGCTTCGCTGGCGTGTTGCTGGCTCTCAGCGGCTCTCTTCGCTCTCCGGCGGCACAGGAAACAGGTTGACTGACCTGCACTGCCACCGAGCTGGTTTCCTCATGTTTTCCTCCCGATGTTGCCGCTTCAACCGATGATGTTGCTGTTGCTGTTGTTGTTGTTGCAGTTGCACTTTCTGCTGCTGCCGCCTCTTCGTCTCTCTGCTGTTCATTGATAATGCAATTCGCTGCGCTGCTGCCTGGGTTTTCTTCGCTTTGTTGTGATCTCGCATTCGTTGTTGGGCTCTGGGTTTCCGTTGTCTCAACGTTGTTGCCGCTGCTGAATGGAGAAGCGCAATTCTGCGGAAGAAAGAAAGAGAGAGAGTGATGAAAGAGAAGAACGAGTCAGGTTTGCATACATATTGCGAATGACAAGATTTAAGTTTCAAGTCGTAATTAATGCTAATTGCCGGGGGATTACCCGCTGCCAAGCAGTCTCATTTTCCCTCGCATTTTCCCACCCCGAAAAAGGAGGGAAAGTGGGGATCCTTCGGCTGGGGCATAAATGTGCGCTTAATTGAATTAATTAAGCCAACGCATAAACATAAAACCGTCACAAGTAATTGTTGTTGTTGTTGTTGTCGGTGGTGGTGTTGCTGCTGCCTTTGCTGGTGGTTCTGTGATGTTGTGGCTGCTGCTGCCTGCTGCCTGCGATGTGCTGATAAAGCTGTTGCTCCCTATTCCAAACCGAAGAACCCAATCCCAATCCCAATCCCAATCCCTAACCCAATCCCCCTTCGACATGATGTGGGTTAAAAGCCAAGCGGATATATCTTTCCTCTGTTTTATGAGTACTTGTATTTGTGTGTGTGGGATCTAATTGTGTTACGCTGTGTTACTTGCATTAATTACGTCACAGAAATATAATGTGATTTACTGTTAGCAAACCCCCCTCATTGCCCCCCTTCGAATTTATTGTTCTAATGCTGTTCACTCTTGTGCACTGTGATTGCGTTGCTGTCGAGTGCGTTGCAATCACAATCACGGCGGCAACATGGTTTTGGTTGAAGGGGGTTTTTCCGAGGGGTTGGGGTGGAGGGGTACCGAAAAACCGAAACTCATCCCCGGCTAACGGTGCTTGGCAGCGGAAAAGCTCTGCCAACTTCATTACATCTTGCCCATAAACCTCTCGTCATGAGTCAGTCGTCAAAAGCCACGCACATATAGCAAGCAGAGATATATATTCGTATGTGTTGGGAAAAAGGGGAAAATAAGTTGGGAGCAGAGGGTTCAGAATGTGAAGACCAAGTCGTTTTGAGCCATTTGTCATTGCTTATTAAGTTCGGCCAGCCGTGAACAGATTGACAGTGGAAATGGATTAGAAAAATCAGAACTTTAAGATTATGAAGTCTGCGTTCGGTGAAAGCTAATTCTTTAAGTCTGTCATCGAATCGGAATGTATTTTATAACATAATGGAATTATTTGATATTTGAGATTATTTTTTTGTTACTTAATATAAGAAGTATATCCCTTGCGACCTTAAAGCGACCTCCAAAAAAACTCAGGTGCTTCTGTAGATTGCCTGTCGATGCATTTACCTGCTGCATTGGGTAGCTATCGTGTCAGCATTTATTGCTATTGAATTGCGTGGATGTGTCGTGTTTTATGCAATTGATACGACTCCATTTATTTTGATAGTATAATACGTTTTCGAGAAACGAAAGCTGATATTTTTGTTTTCCGCCCGCACCCCCTTGCAGCCGCCTTGCTTTGTGGAAACCATTGTTATGCATTTTACCCCCCTTCCCCCTTCGCAATTGCTGCCCACCGCCTTTGTGCTTTGTTTGTCATTTTTGTGCGGTCAATTTTCCGTTTCGCTGACGCCACATAAACAAATTATGAAGTGTGCACAGAAAACACAGCCACATGCGAGCCCCTATGCCAGAGTACTCGTACTTTATGCCGTTCTTTATGCATATGCATATAAAATTTAATATGTGGAAACAAAGCCCCGCCCCCCTTTGGGTTTTGCCCCTTGCGGTCCAATATTCGATACTGATAGGCAACATATGGCGCTTATCTGCGAGGGATGCTAGCGGCACTTAAGGGCCTAAGTGAAGCATTAGCCCTTATCGGGGTTACCAGTGGATTGGATTGGAGGAGGAGGGGGGATAAAATGCGGGGGTGAGGGGCTGTCAATGGGCCCGATAAGGCGACAGTTCGACTTGGCGCTCCCATTTCGCGCTTCACTCTCACAGTTTCCCATTGGCGGCGCCAAGTATTTTGTGTTGAACCCTTGACATCAAATTTGATGGTGCTCCATTAAGCAGCTGAAAGTATCGAAGGGGAGGAGGAGAGTGGACTTAACGCTCAACCTCGCTGGAAAAAATATTCCATTTTCACCTAGACAAACGAGGGTGCAAGGTGTTCGGCAGAAGGTATTCATAACAATAGGTGAGGAATCTTAAGGGGTTGCTCTTTTATAAGGCAATCTTTATTTTAGATGAAGATTAAAAACACTTTTAATGGGCACTAAATAAAAAAGTGGTTCTTTTTTTTAATGTTATTCTAATATTATTTGAGGCTAGCGGAGATATCAAAAGTGTTGCATCTTATAACCTTTGAAATTAATAAATATAATATTCAATATTTTTATAACCTTGCAGAGGGTATTCCCGATGGTCGAAATTTTGACCCCTGTTCATTTCAGATTTTCCCTTTCTTTCCCTTCTACTTTGAGAGTCTGGCACCTTCATATCTTATGTTTCTACCCCATAATCTTTTAAAAAACCCACCTGCGAAATGTAGTCATCCGTGAAGGAGCGCTTTAGACCCAATCCAGCGGGAACTTTAGCCGTTAGTGGAGCAGCCTTGGACTTGATCACATCTCCGTACCGATCTGGATTCCGATCCCGATCCTCTGCTGCTGCTGCTTTCGTTGGCGATCGTGGCGATCTATCACATGGTTCGAGTTCCTCCTCCCCGCAGGATTTGCTGGTCAACGAGGAGGAGGGCGGTCCGCCCACATTCGAGTTGGAGGCGGTGTACAGTGACTCGTAGGAAGGCGGCTCCTTGATCGAGGTGGCGGCCGAGGAGCACCACTGGGTGAGCGTGCGGGAGGGGCTTCCCTGGTAGGCGGGGAAGGAGTAGCGGTTCCGCCTGCCGCCGCCGGCGGAGAAGCCCACTTTGGCCAGGTGATCGAAGCCGGCGATTGCCGCGTCGAAGGCGCTTAAACTAAACGGGGGAAACGAAGGCACGGGGGGGCAGGAGCACGGCCTCCTGGTGGTGGGCGAAAAGTGGGTGGTGGTGGTGGTGGTGGGAGGCGGTGTGGTGGTGGGGCTGGTTCAAGGCCGAGGCCTCGTAGCTGCTGTGCGACTTGCGCAGCTGCCGATTGAGCCGCTCGTCGTCGTCCTCCTCCTCGGCCTCCTCCTCCGAGGAGCTGGGCAGGGGCGTCCGTTCGTAGGGGGTCCACAGCATCGAGGAGAGCGCCTCCTCCACGTCCGGCGGTCGCTGGCGGTGCGTCCCCGCTGCCCCCGTCCCGCCTCCACCCGATCCACCCGATCCCTGCCCATGGCTGGGTGTGTTCCGTTCCGACAAGGACATGCTGCGGTGCTCTCCAAGCTCAGACGCCTCATCGCTCCGCTGTGCTCCACATCAAGTGGTTACATGCCTGGACACCCTGAAAGCATAAGGGTTTAAATAAGTCAACATAGTTTCCATTTCAGAGGAAATAATATACATTTTATTTATATGTTTGAATTAAATATTTAAGAAAGTTTAAAATAAATACAAATAAAAATGTAAAAATAGAATTTATATTCACTGAATCTCTCTTAGCAAGCCTAGAAACCTTTACTTACATATTTAAGCTTAAATCCTTTAATTAGTTCAATATTTTCCCCTTTAACCTTACAACCATAATCCCTTACAAAAACTATGAGTATCGATTTATTTCTGCATATAAATAACCGGCAAATAACTCATAGCCGGACTTTCAGTTTTATTGCTGATCGAGAAATAAAACCCAGCAATTTTCCCAAAAAAGCCAAGGCATGTAGCAACCTGAATTCAAAATGGAGAATGAAAAACTTTTAACTAAGCAAATGGCTGACAAATTAAACGCTTACAATGCCCCAATTTCGAAGGCAGAAACTTTTCAGCCCGGCTCGGCCTCTTCCAATTTGATAAATTGCGATTAAAGCATTTGAAATCGGTAGAGCAGAGTGGAAAGAGGTTTTCTAAGTGAATATGCCTGCCGGCGGGAGATTGAAGGGTTCGGAAAGCTGAGGGGGAGGGGGGAGGGGATGGAAAAAACCTAAAAATGGAAAACCCCAAAACGAAATAAGCCAGCAGACATGAAAAACAAGCATCCGTTTTGTGGAAAATATATGCACAAAAGTTTGCGATGCAAAGTTTTTGGCAGCGTCGTTCTCTCTCTCGATTTTCCTCTTCTTTTGCCCCAAAGGAGTCAGGGAAAACTTTGCCACACGCAGAAGGATATGGGATGTGGGTAGGAAAAAGGGGAGGGATTGGTAAAAATCGAGTACGTGTGTGCGTGTGTAGGCCGTGGCAAGCCAAGTTTAAACTGGCATCGAGTGGAAGGGAATGGCTTAACTGCCATCCGACTAAACGGGAGACATCGAAACGGAAATGGCTGGCCATCCAGTTGACTGCTGCAATGGCATTGCCACAACACTTGCCACATGGAGAGAAACTACTTGAGAGTATACTTGCTAAAAAGGAATTCTTCAATAAAGAATCTTGCAATAATTGCAGAAGATTTTGGTACAATGGTGCAATAAAAAACTGTAGAGTATTGTAACACAAAATAACGCAAACATATTTCATTTTTGTTTTAAAGGAAGGCAGTTAAAATCGAATAAAATGTATTACATTTATTAACACATCTGTACTGATTTTAATATATTTTTTTTTTAAACAAGTCTGCGTGATAATTTTATTTTAAAGACAGTAATTATTTTTTTTTTTCAGTGACGATTTCCCAGCACCCATCCAAATCGCAGAGGAGCGGGGCAAGTGGAAGGCTCTTGAAGTCGCTTTCCCAGCTCGGCTGGCAAGTTTTATGTGTTGCATATCCCGAGGCGCTTGACTGTTCTAATTTTTTCACTCGGTGGCCCTTGGTCCTCTCTCCACGGAGACCCTTCTTTCTACCGCTCTCTTCATCATCTTCCTCTTCTTCTTCTTGGTCTTTTTTCCAAACCGCTTCTTCTTTTCAGGGTTTCAGTGTGTTTGTGGGGCTTCCACCATTGAATTGGTTTCTTTCTGCCATTCTTTTTTTCGTGTTTTGTGTTATGCTTAAATAAAGATTTGTGTTAGTGTGTTTCATTGTTGCTGTAACTGTTATTATTGTTGTTTCTTTGTTGTTATTGTTGTTATTTTTGTTCTGGTTGTTGTTGTTGCGCACTTTCCTTGTGTTTGTTTGGCAAGTTTATGTGCAGTGGTGGCCTTCATTGTTATCATTCTCAATGGTCGCCATTTCATTGTTGTGTCGAAGGAAGAGGAAGCCCCAGTCCACACTCACACACACACACACAGGCACACAACCAAACACACACACACACACAGAGAGTGAGGCATTCAGGCCGAATTAATACGTATGTGCAACAATTGAGAGTGAGGTTGGTTGTGTGCCAGCGTGTGTAATATGCATGTTACCTACTTTTGTGAGCTTTTAATTAACAACAAGCCCCTGTGCAACAAACAAAGAGAAAGCGAAGGAGAGACGGAACGACCGAGAAAGAAAGAGGCGGAAGAAAGCCTTGAATTCTCAAAGGGGCCTTTGTGGGGATTTGAGAAGTGTTTCTTTCGGCTCGTTAAATATGCAGTCCATATTACATCGTAAATTATGTGGGATTTGCATCGGCTTAAAATTGCCATTGAGCAATTTTCGCCCTCTTTCAAAGCTAATGAGCCCCAATAAATAATTTCAATTCGAACGGAATTCCGAAATCTGAATGAATTTCGTTAGAAATTTTTAAGTTTGTTCGCTTCAAAGCGAGAATCGCCACAAAGGAAATAAGTAAGCAGACAAATATTCAAATATTTACGCAGCGGAAACTCTGCGAAAAGTCTGCGCAAAACGTCGCCCAAATGAGCACTGCACCATTCAATGGGATTATTTACATAAATATTCACAGAGCGACCAAAAGTTGCTGGAATATTTTATTTTTATTTTCATTTTTATTTTTTTTTTGTTTTTTTTTTTGTATTTCTATGTGCCATTTTTATTTGACTAGACGTGCGTCAGTCAATCATGGCCCGGAACTTTTCCCGCGGGGGCGCAAAAGAAAAAGAACTTGGCAGCAGAAGCGTTGCCATCGACAACCGAGGAGCACAGAAGGCAAATTGCTGCCAGTATGTTTGTAATGCAAACAAACTTTATCTAATTAAAGGAACACGTGTTACCCAACGCCCCCCGATTTTGTGCTTCTGTCTAGGGAGCATCTTCGTCTTCGGGGATCGAGTTCTTCTTCAACTCCGTCCGAATATTTCTGGGATGCCAGCAGCTGCTTTACATTGATGACGAGGCACTCGAAATGCTTTTGATGTCTCACTTTGCATTTGCCGATTCGACATGCGAGTGTCTCAATGTGTGTGAATATGGAAATGTGTGTGTGTTTGTGAGTGCGTGTGTGTGCGTAACTTCCGCTTCCTGTGCCCCCAGGATGTCCTATTCCTACGCCTCCTCCTGCAACTCTCTCTCTTCCGGCTGACTGGGTTGCGTCTCTAGTCAGGCGCTGTCGAGTGCCTTTTGAGTTGTTTGTCAATATGTAGACCATTATTCAATCAATATATTGACACACATTTCATTTCCTCTCGGCAAACGCCTGCCATTCTGCCATCCAACCATCCTACCATCCTGTTAGTCCTGCAAGGACCTCCCCTCCCCCCATTTCCCCTCCTTCCCATAATCCGGCCAAGTGCTAATCGCAAACAAAGTAGTTTTTGCTTGAGTTCCATTTCAATTTCTTTTGACGTCTCACCCACTCATTTTGGCCCATTTTTATGGCTCGTGGCTGTTTGGTTTTTCGCTTCGCCTTCGTCGCCTTCATCGACTTCATCGCTTCCTTGCGATTCGATTCGTTTCGGTTTCTATTCGATTCGATTGATTCCTTCGCCAGCTTTGCGTACTTTGACACACTTCCCAGGCTCCTCGGCGATGCCTTTGCCCCCGGGGACTTACATTTCCGCTTAACTATTGTTGGGAAAAGGGAAAGCGGAGACCGTGCTCCTCAAATTGAATTTGAAGCCCGGCTCCCTTTCCCCTTATTTGCACACGAGCCGATGAGGATCTCCCTTTTCGTCGAGCTCTTCCCCATTTTTAATTTAATTCAGCGCCTTTTGCTTTGGCACTTAAAAAGTTTTTCCCAGTGCCCGAAAGTAGGCAACGAGTCCCGACCCGAATCCAAAACAGAACAGAATGAAGCTAAGGTGTCACACTGTGACAAAAATAGTGGTTGTATCACAAGGATATGATTTACCATCATTCACCAAATTTAAGTTACTAAAAAATCTAGTAATAGATAAAGTTTTTTTTATTAATATGAACAACATACTTTGGATTCCTTGACTTTATAAAAAATACTTTCAATGAAGTGAAACATGTTGCAATCTCTATAGCTCTCAAAGAATATTTAAATATCTTTAGTTTATTAGTTTTTGAATAAGCAGATAATAACTAAAAATAACATTTTTGTTTGGATGTATAGTTTTTTTCTCACTACATCAGCATTGAAATGCGCAAACGAATGCGATCGAGTTGCTAAATCACTTAAGCCATTCAAGTTTCGTTTCGATTTTGAAGCGAGACAAGGAACAGGGAAATTCTGATGGGAGATTACTATTGTAGTTGGGGATTTGTTAGGGAAAGCTGCAGTGGCAGTGTAGGAATTGACTTCTGAAGCATGGCCCAATAATCCGCATTGAATGGGGCTCTGGTTTTTTGTTCTTTCGGCAGATAAAATCCGAAGGGCTGTGCGCTGCATAATTAAGTCTGGCAAGTGCAGTATTCAATTAAAGTTTTTCGGACTCCTCGCCGGACCTCAATTAACCAACTATAAACAAGCTGCTAACTTGGCCAAAGCAGTGGAGAGCTGCAGGTGCTCCTCGTCACTTACCATGCAGTTCGCCTTCGCTTTTGGGATCCTCTGAGGGGCGACACACACACACACAGAAACACAAAAAACAGGACCTTAAAGCTGCTTTGACTGGCGGCCGCTCTTCAAAGTTTCAAGGCTCTGGCCAAGTTTTTTGTCCTTCTCCGGTCCTTTTTGTGAAAGGTGTGGGTGGCGGGCGGTAAATTCCTGATGCGCTTAATTATTCTAAAAGCAAGCAGCAACTTTGCCAGCTACAGAAATGAATATTTACACCTGCCCGGATGCAAATGTGGCGCCAATGTCAAAGCCATAGGTAAACAAAACCGAGATGCGTATCATTTAACTTTTTTTACTCGTAGTTTTAACTTTAAGTTTTTTCAAAGTTATTTCACAGTTCATTGAGAGTCCACATTCTTGGCCTGGTCGTAAACTTTTTAACTGTCATGAAACACTTTCCGAACTCGCGGCACTTTCACACTTCTTACGACTTTTGGGAATAATCGCGTTTCAGGCCCGGAAAAACACTTGCAGTGGCAGTGGCTGCTGCGACGGAAAACGCGAACGAACTGACTGGCTGGGAAACTGAACAAAGGCTTTTCAATGCTAACTTGGCTTTGGGGGAAAACCCAACACGCGCTCTCTTCGATTTTTGGTGAGTCTGCGCAGCGTTTTCCCCGCTCTGATAATCTGCACGTGCAGTTGGCTTCCAGGAAAACCCCCTCCCCCTCCCCTCTCTATCCTTCAAAGTGAGTGGAAAATGTTTGTTTACATTTGGCAGGACATCGGAAGGGAGCCAGCCTCAATTGGATGTTGCCTACTTTCTGGCAGTGAAATATGACTTCTGCAATCGAAGCGGAGATGCAATTGCATTTGCCCAGAAAACTGCTGCGGGGCCAGAAAAGTCTGTTCTGTTCAGCAAGTGTTGGTAATCCGGGCTGAAACCGATTCATGCCACATTTTTAGACCAGAAACCAAGGCTCTATCTCTAATGAACTACCTCGCCGGCTGCTGATGGACAAACTTTTTTAATTATCATTAATGAACACGGAGGGCGCAATCATTGGCCAAGTTGCGCTCTGCAATTATTTTAATGTTCAATGAGGTTGCTGCAGCAGTCATCGCCAATGATTTATTACCGCCCCTTCAGCTTTTCCGAAGTCCACAGCTAAAGTCCAAAGTCGAAGGTCCGAGGAGGCGAGTGAGAGTCGCCGGGCATTGGCAATTAGATAGCTGGAAGGAGGGCCGGAGGGTCCATGAAACAGCGTTTATGTTTAATGCGTTATAATGGCCGTTGTAAGTGTACATAAGTTGATATAAAAGTTTTATGGCCCGGGCGTGAGCAGCCTCCGGGAACCCGGATCCCTAGATTCGATATGGAAAAAGGAAAATCGGGGGACGCGCTGTAGTGAAAGCACAATACGAGTGTAGCTGAAACAAAATAAACAAATCGATGAGTTATTCCCAAAGTTAGCGCAATTGAAATTTGGATTTAATTCCACTCTCGGCACTTTGGTTAGAAATAAATTATTGACTTTCAAATTGAATTAGATTACTGCCAGTGAGCCGGATTAAGCTCAAAATTTATGATGTTTTTTTTTTTGTTTCTGGTTTCTGTGTGGGAAAACCACAAAGATGGCCTTTTTGAGGTTGCTCGATCGGGATCGAGCCGGAGTATAAATTATTCAGCCCAGGCCATTTATTGAATTACTCTGATATTGCCGGCCATAAATTATGTATATTCAACAATTTTCCATAATTTATGCGTGCTTCAAAACAATTTAACCCCCTCCTTCCCCTTGGGCACACAACATAAAACACATCGATGGAAATAATTTCAATAGAAAAACCTAAGCGCAGGAGGCGGCCAAACAAACACGCACGAATGCCTCCCCAAAACACGCATACACATACATAGACAACCACACACGCACACCGATAGGCAAACCGCTCACGCACACAGCCACACGCGTACGTGTGTTTAGACAGATATCCGTATCTATAACTGCCTCACAATTGCAGCGCACTTGCCGCAGAAAGACCGATAAAAGAATAAACAAGGAGCACCGTTTCGGTGTGTTTTTAAAAGCCGAATTTATGTTACTCTTTTGTTTATAAAATAGTGGGTTTAAGGATTAAAAAATAAAATTAAACCAATGAATGAATTAAAATATGTATAAAGATAGATATCTTGAATGAAATCATTCTTACCTTTTTACCCTCAGAAATATTCAACCACATACATATTATAAAATGTATTTATTAATTCTTATGTATACCTCAATTAAATATAAAAGAAATAAAGAAGGTTTAATCTGAAGTAAGAGTAGGTGAGTATTTCCTTCAAAGAGTAGTTCCCCCAACCATTTTAACTTCGCTTTTGCAACCCTGCCCTTGCAAGGGATCCAGAGACCCAGACCCCATTTATGACATATGCGCAGGTCGAAGGGCAGGGGGCGGTGTGGAAAGGGCCTGCAGCCGCCAGACGCATCGCCAGGACAACTCCAACCCCCCCTTTGTACCCGCTCCTGCACAATTCAACTCCCTTTCCACCAGCGGCAGTGGCAAAAAATCTTCGTTTTAAGCGATTTCGTTAGCTTCGGGCGGAGTTTTTTCTTTTGATGCTGCATGGAAAATGGCTGTATATGAATCGGAATCCGCAGATCCACGCGTTTCCCCACGACAAGTTGCGGGGGGCGAAAGGGGGAAAGGGGGGTAAAGAGTCAGGGGCATCTAGGTAACCGTAAAATAGATTGAGGGGTCGTGAGGGGGCGGAGTGAAAGGCAAGAATTGCAATAAAACATAAAATTGCTGACTTCAATTCGTTTGCCATTTAGGTTTCGCTTTTCCCTTTTTTCCATGCCCATTTGGGCCATTGTGTGTGTGTGTGTGGACGCATCTGACGCACGTAAGTGTGTGTGTGTGTGTTGGTTCGTGGGTGAAAAATAGGGCGGAAGGGCGTGTGTGGACGGGCGTGTGGCAACCTGCGTTCGCCCCTTTATATATTTTATTAGGTTTTATTTGATTTACACTTGTTTTGTGCTGAAAGCACTTCGCCCTAGAACATGTGAATATGTGTGTGGATGTGTGTGTGTGCGTGGGAGGAAGTGGAGGAAGGAAAAGAGTGAAAGGAAAAGGCGGAGAAACTTCCCATTTTGAATTCGAAATTTTCTACGGCTTGGCAATTTCCATAATAGAATGTTGGAATAAAATTCAAAACACCCTGGGCTTCCAAATAAAAAAGATTTATAGTTCTGATCATTTTTGTATTTTTAAAAATATTTAATATAATATATTGAAATACAATATGTTAAATTTCTCAAAAACATCAACGATAAATATTAAAAGTGAGGACCACCTGAAGAGAAGAATCCTTTCAAGGACTTATTTTACCTTTAGGTCCGAATGGCAATTAACCCTTTGTGTCCAGATCTCGGCAAAGGCGATTTATATGCGTTGCGTTGCGAGGAGTGGGAATCCTTTTCTGCCGCTGCCAGCTAAAGCACAATTAATTAAGCACGCACAGTGGGAGCACAAAGATTTTAATTAAAAATTTTGCTGAAGCTGCACAAGTGTCCTGCGCCTGACCCCGCCCCCCATTCGACCCTCCGCCCCCTTTTCACATCCCATCCTTTGTCGGGCTTTCAGCGTTGCACTTTGTTTCATTATTTCATTACATGCCTGAGCTGCAATTGTAAGGCTTTCAATTTAAGCCGAAAACTGATGAACGGCAATTGGTAATTGCCAATTGACAATTGTCGATTGGCCATATTGCCGGTGGTCCGACCAATGTGGTCGAAACTGCTGCGCCTCTTTGCCACCCACTTTTCGATCAACACCCTTGACACACTGAATGCGGCTAAAAGTCTGCCATTTGCTCTACTTCCCGTGAGATAACCTTTATCAACTTATGGCCAACTATGTGAAAGGCATCGGGCGCAGCGGGAATTTCTAAAGAGCCGCCTTTGGGCCTTAAGGTGTTAATGAGTGCGATAAGATCCAAATTAGAATATTCATAATTCATCGTGTTTGCGGGGCGCCTTCAATGCGAGCTGCTCTTTGCCGGCCATGTTTGCCGAGTGCTCGAGGACACTTTCTCCTGGCGGTCCTTTTCAATCGATTTTGACAGCCTTGTGCACATTAAATACATTCTAGGTATGTCAAGTAAATTTAAAATAAAATTTAAATACTAAATTTAAAAGATTTATATACAAAGTAAATAAAAATGCAATGCTTATTAAGCTATGTATTTATCATCTTTAAAATAGTTTCTTACTTTCTCTGAGTGGCTATTATATATTTATTTAAGCATTCTCCTTACTCAATAAAGCTTAAATTGATTAATAAAATCTATAAGTGAATCGAAGCCACCTGCAGTGCGTATAAACCAACTTTGCTTAACCAACAACAGTGTTTCCTTCCCCGGAAACACTTTTGCCTTCCCCGTGAACACCTGTGTTTGCTTTTAAGCTTAGCGCCAGCAGCCCGAAAGACAAAAACAGCTTCACACGCTCAACTCCTGTCGGTGTCCGTGTCCGGAACCGTTGTCCGTTGTCCGTATTCCGTACTCCGTACTCTGCACTCCGTGTTCCGTGCTCCAACCTCCAAGCAAGCTATATGCTCATGCTCGTGAAGGGGTCCGCCGGTATTAAGGTCAGAAGTATAAAACATGCAAAGCTGCCTGCCTGCCAGCTTCACCTCGAATCCTGGCCAGAGGGCAGAAAACGCAGGCAGTCCATCACAAAAACAAACATCCGGCGAGTGTTAACCGACTCGGGCTACGATTCCAACTACGGCTTCAACCCGGAACAGAAATGGCTGCTGACTCATAGTGAACAGTAATGTGGATTTGCAGAGAGTAACCATTTAATTCCTAACATCAAATACGAGATTCTTACAATGGTTATTTATACCGAATATTGAATATGTAAAAAATTATATTCGATTTTTGAATATCCTGTTTTCTTTTATGATCCACTCTTTTTCTTAAAAGCCACTCGTTTGAAGAACTTTATTGAATACCTGTCTCAATAGCAAACCTTTCTTTGGCATCAGAATTTTGGCTGCGACTGTACTGACTGGAATTTCCCTTATGTTGCGCCCATAAATATGCTACACTTTGGCGTTGGTCCTTCCACTCCTTAACCCTCTGATGGCCCCAACGCCCCTTTCGACCTCCTCACCCTCGGACTTTGATGTTTTCGCTGCGCAGGGAAGCAGTTTAGACGGACATACTCCCTTGTCATTTGCGGTTGCTCTGGTTTCCGGTTAACACGCACACACACTCACACTATCGCACTTGCACACTCACACACACATATACATGCATATGCATACGAAAGTGTTCACGTATGAGTGTGTGTGTGTGTGTGTGAAGTTTGGCTTGTCTGTTTTGATCCCTTGTTAATAATATAAATGATGATTTATGACCCTCCAAGGAGGAACAGCGGAGCCACAGCGATTGTTTGGGATTGTCAGGGGTCAGGGGTCAGGGGGGGTCACTCCTCACGGAGAGGGGGGCTTAGGGGTTTTGGTGGTCAGGGATCCGTGAGAGACA